CCATGTCCATGCTTCCACAGCTGCAGTCACAGCCGAGATTCCTCCCAGCAGCGAGGTCAGAGGGCAAAGAGGAAGGGTAGGAGCCACACCTACACATATATCATTTAACATTTCTTTCAGCTTCATGATTCAAACATACTCAGCACTCCACTGACCACACTCTCTCTCACCACAAAGGAGAAGGGACTTTGGACTCCACAGGTTCCAAAGATCAGCCTTTCAGCTATTACAGGCCCCATGGTCCATCCTTTCTGCTGTGGAAGTGCTGGATACCTTGGTGGTATCCAGGTGCAACAGTTCCACTGTAAAAAGTGTCTTAAGGAAGAAATCATTCCCCACTTCTCTCAAACAGCTCTAAGACACTGATACTGCTTTTCTGGCCAGGGCAGTCTAGCGCAGGCTCCACCAAAATGTCAGAAAAACCATTTGAGGATGGTTCATGTTTATGCCAATCCACAGAGTTACTTTAAGAACTATTTAGATTAGGTTTTAACATTACTGTTCCTCGTTAAGATGCTGAAAACTGATCTATGTCCAAGTCTATGCTTAGGGCTTAATAAGGGCTTTTTTTTTTCCCCCCACAAAGAAACAGGTAGGGCATTATCTCTCCTTCCTCAAGCATATCAACCATACCACTTGTGCCAAATCATGGAAGAATCCAGAATAGATTTTGTTGCTCAGACTAAAGACAGCAAAATTTTCATGAACATTTTTTTACTTGTTTGGCACATACTTGTGCCATAGCTGCCAAGAGGTGGAGTCTCATACATTTAGGGAATGATAAACGTGAGGATTTTAGAACATTTCATATTTTCCCCCTTTTGAAACCTTTTTAGTGATACAGGAAGAGACCCCTATGAAAGCAAAGTCAATGGAAGGATATCACAGATGAGGCTGGTTTAAGTCGGCTTGTAAGATGTAATAGTCAACAAGACATTGTGCAACACGTAATGGAAGACGAATCAAAAATAATTTCTATGTGTCCCTTTGTCTTCCATTCACCAAACACAGAAGTTCATGCCATAGGTCACGTGAAAGAGTTATATCACTACAATAATATCCTTTCTATACTACAGAGAGCACATTCCTAAGATCACTAATCATTAGTGGTATTTGTTGTGTACTGGAAAAATCACTCCTTGAATAATTTGTGGCTTAGTAGTGTTGTGCATTAACAGGAACATCTGAACATCCTACACATAACTCAATAACAGTCTCTGGTGAACCTGATAGAGGTTTCCTCCTGTGTTATGTTGTGTTGTGAAGGTGTTTTGTTGGCTTGATTTGAGTATTCTAAATGTTTTGATTTGTTCATGTAAAAAAGGAGTATCTGAATCTGTGAGAGGGTTGATTTTTAAATGGGATGTGAAAACTTGCAGAATTCCTAAGAGCAGCCAGAGGCAGAATTTGCTTAATCTATCTTCGAAATTTGTCCCAAAGCCACATTCCTTGACCAGAAATGGTTTTTGTGGAGCCCTCGGCTGCATATTTTGCACAGGGAACACCATCCTGACAACAGCAATGACGAACTATTAGAGGTTATACACCCTAAAAGCCTTAAAGATTCATAGACTCTACAGAGCCAAAGAATTAGCAATGCAACTGCTCAGAAGAGTTGTCTTAATACATGGTTTTCATTCAACAAAACAATCTGAAGAATTATATGAATCCAGATGGTCACCCTGGCTTTCAAAATCTTCCTTCTTCTCAGAAGATTTCAGCACAAGATGAGTTTAGGTACACCAGCGGCAGAGTACTGCACATTTTGGTCTATGAGAGTTCCCAGGCATCTCCTCAGGGGGAAACAGAACTGTGTAATAAAGATTCCATTTTAGTTTGTGACTTAGAACTGTCCCTGTCACCAAATCAAAACAGATACAGAATTAAAATGCTGTGGGAAGCAAATACAAATATAATAACATATGATACCAATCTCATAAGGCAAGTTGCCAACACGTATTAAGAAATCAGCACAAACACTGTTTTTCAAGATAATGAGACAGAAGACCAAACCATCTTCTTACTGCTGATAGGAGAATGTTTAGCCAACTAAGCATTTCTGTAATATTTCCTTCCCATTGTGAGTAACTTCTAGAGGTAACTGAAACTATCATCTCCATCTGGTTCTCTCATTTTCCCTTGAGAAGCTTATGAGCAATTGGGCTTCTTTCCCACCACAGCTCTTTAGGTTTTTACATTCTTTCATTACATTTCGAAAGCTGAATTCAGCTGGAGGGCAGGGCTGCTATTCAGAGGGAGCTCCACAAAAGCAATCCCAAGGTCCTGCATCTGCAGGGAAGCAATAGCCCCGTGCAACAGTACAGGCTGGGAGCTGTTTGGAAGCAACTCTGCACAGTTAAACTTGGATGTCCTAGTGGACAATTCAAATATGAGTCAGCAGTGTGCCCTCGCAGCAAAGGCAGCCAACAGCGTCTTGAACTGTATTAACAAGAGGGCCAGGGAAGTGATCTTTCATGAGACTTCATCTGAGCACTGTGACCAGTTGTGGGCTCCCTCCAGTACAGAACGACATCGACACATGGGACAGAGTCAATCAAAAGGCCTCCAAAACGGCCAGAGGTTGCAGAACACAATGCACATGAAGATGCTGAGACAGCTGGATATTTTCATCTTGGAGAAGAGAATGCTAAAAGGAGATCTTGTTGCTGCTTACAACTTCCTGACTGCAGGACAGGACTGGTAAATTCCATATTCTAGATAAAAGGGGGGAAAATACCATGAGAATGGTCAAACACGCGACTAGGTTGCTCAAAGCAGTTGCAGAATCTCCATATTTGGAGATGTTCAGGACTCCCCTGGCCATGGCCCTGATCAACTTGATCTGATTAGACCTGTTTGAGGAAGGAGTTGAACTAGATAACCCCTGAAGGTCCCTTCTGACCTCACTTATGACTACAGGATTCCAAGGCAATATGTAATGTACTATGGAGGAAATTCCCGTAGTTCTAAATAAGCAAAGGTGATGTTCTAAATAAGAACTTACTCTGAAAAGGTTGATTCTTCTGAACTCGAAGAAAAGGAATAATGCATTTAAAGGAGACAAATTATTGACTTCCTTCATGGTATTAACACATTAGATCTTTCCTAGCACCTCCATTTTCTTATCCCTTGAATCTTGATACGTAACACATGGTCTAGATTTTTTCTGTGACAGAATTCAAAGGCCCATCCAGCAAGCTAGTACAAGTGCTGTCTGTGCATCTAAGGGACATATGTCTCCTTTTAGATGTCAGCAGACACCTGAAGGTTATTACTAGCACTGTTACCACATATTCACTTGTGAGCAAGTCCAGATCTATATCCAGGTTCACAGTTTCTCTCTGCAATTCACTGAATTATTAGATAATTTTACCTCTTTTTCCAGAAAACAAATTTCACTGCTTATGGTAGAATTCCAGCCAAGAGAATCTATCTGCTAGCAATCTGCTTAATTAGCATATTCTTAGGGTTGTTTAGATTACAGCTACAGTGGCAGTATAGTCAAATTTGGCTGATAAATTAAGAGGTCTTAATGCCGGGAAAACAAGAGCCAAATGCCTCACTATGGCACATTAACTCTGTGCTTTCCAAAATGTCCAGTAGGTTAGGTCTTGCAATTTGCTCAGATGTCATGCTTAGGTATGCAAATAATGTTAAGCATATAATACTCAGAACTAAAGTAACTGCAGAATTTTCTTTAGCCAAAATGTTTTCTAGCAGTAACATGGAGTTTATTATGCATAAATTTCATTTCAGAATGAGGGACCTGAATAAGGTCATCTGCTCTATTTTAGTTCCTCCTATGTTCTTGTGAGGCTGTGTTGGTTTAAATGCTCTCGGACTCAGTGAACTATCCAGCAGATATACTGAACATGCAAACTTCTTCACTATAATACAGGCATGTCTTGATGCCACTCTAAAAGGATCATTTAATATTAAACGAAATCTTTAAGCCCTGTGGGTAGGTAGCTGTTTTACCTGAGAGTAGATAGATCCAGTGTCCTGTCCATGAACCCAGCTCAGCAGGTGTGTTTAAAATATGCCATGGAAAAAATATGCCATCTCTAAATTTGTCCAGGCTTCAGAGTATTTAAAGGGATTACTCACTGAAATACAGCTTTATAATATAACAGCTACAACAACACTCGAACAAACCCTCACCCTTTTCTTATTATTCTTAATTATTAAAAGTATTTGAATTAAACAGAAATTATTATTGAAAAATTTATAGTTCTTCCTTCTGCTTCTTGGAAAACACCTTTTAATAAATGGTTCCATAGTATTTTAAATTAAAAATCTCAAGAAAATACATGAAAAATTGTGAGTAATTTAAGCTATCGTTAGTTCTCGAGAATAGAAACATCTCTGGAACTTCAGGAGTTTACATGGTGTTTCAAATGTTATTTTAGTAACTGTTGTTACTACTAACCTACAGCCAAGCTGAATGGTTGGTGTCTGATCTTGCAAACACTTCAGAACCCTGCAGCTTGCTCTGTGGCATGAGCTAAATGTGTAGTACTAAAAGACTGCAGGAGCTGGACCTTAAGATGTATCTTTTGTTGCTCTTGGCTACTCTTTTTCATCTCATTTGGGAATTCTGGTTTTTGTAATAGCTTTCAGTAAAAATCCTTCTACTCCTCCTCTCTTTGTTTTGATTTTTTTCTTTGTTCTAGTTTTAATTGCCTACTATGCTGATTTTCTTTTTTAAGAATAAAAACAAAGTCCTAGTTGCAGATGGATTTTAATTCATTATTTTAGAAAGGAAAATGGGTATTGATTGTATATTATTCACATCAATGGGTGTAGTTAGTCTTGTCCTCAGAAACACATTTACAAAACCATCATGATATATTGACCTAAGATAAATTTTTAATTCACTTCAGATACAAGCCTCATGACTGCAAATAAAGCACATTTATTTGACACTCCAGAGTTATTTGGTTGCTGAGTGGTTTCTGGTTTTAAAAGAGAATAAACATTTAACATTTATTTCTGGGTTATTTTGGTAAGAAAATCTGTTAATTTTACTTTTTAAAGTCATTATCAGGAGGAAATGGTAGCATAAATTCCAAGAGCAATTTTCTTTTACAGTTTGACTGCATCGTATATGTGAAACAATTCATGGATGCTGGGGAAAAAAAGCTATTTTTTGCTTATTTAAACAGGGCAAAATAAAGAAGGAAAATATTAGGGAGGATCTCATATACTGTCTTCTACCTTTGAACAAGTTCATGTTTATTGGATCAATGCCCAGTACTACTAAGATCCTTCAAGTAAAAACTGTTAGAAAAACATTAAAGACGAATTGTATCTTGTAACTGTGGGTTTGGTACACTTAAATAAAAGCAGTATTTCGAAGTATTGAGCAATCTAAATTCCCAGGATGCAGTGAATCCTACGGCTCAGTGAAAGCTGAAGGAGGAGACTATAATTACTATAGGATTAATTAAGCACATAAACACAGGCAAAATTTTAATCATGGCTTTAGCTTCTGTTGGAATACAGACTTAAGTCTGTATCTATTTTGATGCATTGGGAATCATGAGTCTGCTGCTTCAATTATTTCCATACATTTTATCTCTGTTTTATGGTTAATGTATTGTTCTTTGCCTTCTCTTCAAAATGTTGCATTTTTGTCAGGATTTTAGTTTTCTCTTTTGGCTTTTCTTCTTTTATGCAAAGCCCAAGTTGAAACAACCTTTCATGACATGCACCTCCTCCAAATTCTGTATCTTGCCTATAATGTTCTAGACATCTTCTCTGCCTGCACCCTTATTTGTTCTTGCCTCTGAATTACTTTAGTCACTGTACTAGGTTAAATCATGATTTGATTTACACTGATTTCTGCTTCCAATCTAATTGACCAGTGCTAACTAGAAAAATTTTAGATGAAGCTCTTTTTACATGCTTGTGGAGACCAGATCATATTTATGAAATTAGGAAAATAATTAATAGCACCCTTTCTTTTGTCCTTATGAAGGTGAAAGAGAGGAATTAAGTGTCACATATTTCAGGCCTCTCTATCCATCTAAAGATAAATACTATGTCCACACATCAATGTCAGAGAACAACTTAATGTTTAAGTTCTAATGTATTTGTACCTAATGCTGTCTACAGGGGAGCCTCAGATGTAAACAGAACCTTGAGGGGAGATTATGATGTTACAACCTGGGATTTGTGAAGACAATGTCTGGAAGCTAAGATCCAAAAGGAAGAACTTCAAACAAATCTTCTGTTTCAGAAATAGATGCAGATGAGATTGGTAATTTCCTTAGCAAATAAATTAATTTATTTCAAGTGTTTATACTTTGTCTGTTCTTAAAACTGTTAATCAGGGTATGAACATGCTGATACCAGCTCTTTCTCCTCCAGATAAAGAAATTGGAGACAAGCCTGAATTTTTTTCCTGATTGAATGTAGTCCCAGCAAAGCAAACTGAGCTGAGTTGAGCTGCAACCACATTAGTGATGAGTAAAATGAATTGTAGTGAAAAGAGAAGAATTGAAATGTAGAAATATATTCTAGGAATACCAGATTAATGAAAAAAAGCTGGATATTTTTTGTACAGGTTTAAGTAATGTGCTGCTGATGGACAGCCCTAACCGGTGCTGATGAAATTCAGAGGTAGAACTGAAGGCAAAAATTACTCAACTTCAAGAAAATTGGTGTAGCATTTAATTGACATAGCAGAGAATTATAATTTTAAATGGAAGGAAGCCTGAAAATATTAAAAGTTTTAAAAGAAATATTACACTTTGCTAATACATACATGAAAATGAGAGCATATCATCAAATTTTAAGAAGAAATAGGGCTATTCTATATGAAATTCAAGCTTTATGAAGAGTTTCAAGAATCAAAATACAAACTAAAAAAAAAAAAAAGAGAGAGACATAAAAGATGTTAAAAAACAGTAAGTTTCTGGCCCTTATGGTTGTTGAAATAATTTTAAAAGATGGCCCAAATCAACCAGAACACAAAAAAACAGAAGAAAGACTTGCACTCCCTGACCCCACACCTTTGTAAAACAGCATTTTCAGCCCTAGAAGTTTTTTTGAACTTTGTGACTGGCAATACTCAGTTCCCTAACCGCCTTTCCATTTTCAGACACATGAGGCACAAATGACATACACTCCTGTTGAAGTGCAACACCACAGCTTCTCTGCTGACACATGCCCCAGTATTCCTCAGACAAGACTTCATGAGAAAGATGTGAGTTGCTGGATGAATTGCAGTCTTAGCAGTGCCAGTCTCTCCTGTGAATGAGATACGAGTTATACAAATGTTAGCGTAACTGATTTGGAGGGACTCCTGAAGAATTTGGACAGCCAGTTGCAGCAGATGGGAAGGAAAAGGTTCACTGAATCATATCTTATGGGCAAACTTAAAGGGAAAGAATTACCATATTGAACATTAGGAGGTTAGAGCAGTAACTGACAGGGTTACTGAGACAAGGCACAGCAACACAGATGTGCCATTTTCCTGGGAAGTACTGGAATGAGTGTGTATGTCCAGTAGTTCTTTTAAATGAGAGAGAGGCATGGCAGCCTAGCCTGCTCTAGCAAAAATAAAAGGTAGGGAATCCTTGTTAAAAAGGTTGAGTAGGAGCGCAGTCTGTACTTTTCAGTTTATTTCTAAATATTAGGGATAAATCCTGCAGCTGCTTCCTAAGAAGGAAAATAGTTTATTTCCAGAGAAACTGGAAATATATTTTAAGCAGAATGGATCAGTGAGATGTTGCAGATCAGAAGGGTCTTTTCATTAGGTTTGGTGGCCACTAAGTACATGATTATATCTCAATGTAAGCAGAAATCTTCCTGTTGGGAGTCCAGTCCAAGAGGGTGTCAAAAGTGGCCATGGCTTTGGTGGCAAGTTATATACTGAGGAATGAGGTCCAGTCTCTTAAAAGAAGCACTAAAAGAAGCACTTCTTTCACCAAGACCATGAAAACCTCCTGTAGCCTCTCATGCAAGTTGTCACAATGAGAATCAATCAGTACACTGATGTTTTTATTTTGTCATCTCAGGTATCCCTAGGCAGCACCAGCCCCTTCATTTTTATGCCAGTGTGCAGAGTGTTCTCTTGGATGTATTTTATGTTTCAGTAGTGATTTACATTCACCAAAATGAAGGCCAGATGATCACCTCTGTTATGCAAATGAATGCATGGGGACAGCAGGGGAGTCAGTAACTTGAAGTGGTAAGATGGGACAGTTGTCATTCTGTTCAGGGGGCTTTTTCTCTCTCTATTCATTGACCTTTCAGTAGCTTTCTCGCTTGCAAATTCTCGTTCAAGGGGAAGGGTGCAGTCAACTGGAAGGCAATTTCGGTTAGAAACCACTTTATGTCACAACTGAGACTCAGCTTACACAGGGAAAGATACACCGGATATTAAAGGTGTTCAATAAGTAAAAGCCTTGTTACTTTTAGTGCATATAAACTCTCAACAGTTTAAAGCAACCGGCTTACAACGTATTGATTATTAAGACAGAGAAAGACTTATTTTAATAACATGCAAGTAGCTAGGGTATCTATGCTTAGGGGAAGAAATATAAACAATCTACATGTAATTATCGGGAAATATACTTAATACAGACTATAGTTATGTTTGTCTTTTTAGAGATGTGAATGAAATATTGACTTAAATATTAATCATGCCCTTCAAAAGCAGACAGTGAACTGTGGACCTCCAGAGCTGAATCCATTCTCTTCAGCTTAAGCTAAATAACCAAGCTCCTAGGAACCTGTGGGACAAGAACAGTTATAAAGGAAGAGGTTTTCCAGACCAGCAGAATTGTGTCAATATAATTGTGTCATTCTAACTGAAGTAGCTTACATAAAAATGATAATATAATACTTCTGGTATTTAAATATTACAAATACTAAAAATTAATTTATAAAACCTCTTTTTAAGGCTTAATACTGGGTATTAATAGAGATTCTGTTGGGATCCAGGCCTTAAGCCTTACAGATGGCTATAAGACCTGATAAAATTGTGAATATTCATATTTTGAATCCACTGAAATAGATTAAGTTTTACCTGTATGGGATTAACGTGTATGTTTTCGATTTTCTTTCTTCTTTCTGGCTAGGATGGAGAAAGAATTTGGAGGGAAAAAAAGCAACACCCCACATGGGAATTAACAAATTGATATATTAACAATTGTACATATGTACATATAAAACTAATACATTCATTAGTTAAATAAAATTAATAATTCCATTGGATTTTCAGAAGGTAGAAAGGTAATAATTCTATTTCTCTCAGTGAGAGTAGAATATTCAAAATCTTTGTCCCAGGGCAACAGATAATGTAAGCTTACAGCCTCCATTTTGTAAATTATGTGACAAGAGCCCGAAAACTCTGGTTCTGAATACTTCCTGAGCTTTGGGAAATCTGACTCGAAATTTGTGGCAAAGTCTTATTTCTGAAATTTATATCAATGCACTTGATTCTCTTCTACTAGTGTAGTCCTACTTCAGTGGGTTAATTTCTGAAGTTCCCTTCTCATTCTGTATTGAGCATGAAGTTTGTGGTTTCCATGTCATACCTAAAGAGGGATTTGTGTGCCTGAAACATTCTTTTTTTTACATCCCATTGGCTTGATGAAAAGACATTAGGTCTCCCTACAGGCCTCGCCTGCATGCCTCCTGAGAGAAAAAATGCAAGCTATAATGAGAGCAACTCACAACTGATTCAACCTGGAAACCCTCACAGAAAAAAATACCCTTACAGTCAACAGACGTTTCGCCTAGTCTGACATGTCAGGTTTTGGCCCTGTACTCCTAATAGAAAGCCCCTCCCAGAATAACTGAATCAAAATATCTAAAATTAATCAATATCATATTTATGTATAAAACAGACTAAGGGACGTTATTTGACCTTTTGGTAACTGACCTGCTAACAAAAGCAAGGTCTCACAGGATTTACCTCTTCAGGCTCAGCGTGAGGCAACAAGCCAGTACAACATCTGCTCAGTACGCATTGCAAAGCAAATGAACAATGCTGACACCATTAATCAGCTTGTCCAAGTGAATAAAATGTCAAAACCTGATGTAAGAAAGCTTGGCTTTAAAAGCAAACATTTCATGTGGATCTGCATGGGTCTAATGATGGATTAGTTAACCCTGGAAGATGAAGAATGACTCCAGCCTAATGTTTGAGGGGGAATTGCATCTAAATCTGACAATGTACAAAGAAAGACTGTAAAGAAATTAGAGATATGGGAACTACTTTTACAAAAATCAATCACCTGCCATTGGTGCCTCAAACTTCAGTGTGTGATACTAAACAGAATTAATAAAACACACCTTGTTTTGAGTCCTACCAGGTTGCAAGCTGTGCATTAAAAGTAAGTTTTTTCATTCACAGAACTGTTAAACTGCAGGTAGCATTTTTTCCTTCCCCTCTGCTGAGCCATGGGCAGGAACAGTACCTCAAAGGGAAAAAATACACAGAATTTATTTCAGTGGAATAGATGCAAAGCAGTGCAGCAGTACTTTAAATCTGGGGTTAAATTACAAGTGAAAACTCAGGAACAGTCAGTAAAGGGTGCTGATACTTCCTTATTTAATGAGGAGTAGAACATCTGTTGGGGAAAGAGAAGGTAGGGAACACAGACACATAGAAGCTACAGCTGGAAAAAATCTCTGCTAGCCAGCTTAAAAATGCAGGACCTATTCTATTGCTTTGTCAAATCCGCTTTTGAAACTACAAGGCTTTTCTGCTTCCAAGATTCCCTTTGGAAGATATCTCTGGACTGTACTGTATTTTGGTCTCAGAATATTTTTTCCTGATATCTTTTTTTTTAATAACCTGAATTTCTTCCCATAATAACTAGCACACCCTTTTGTAATACAACAAAAATTCACCTCCCTTGGTAGCTTTCACTGCCTTTCTTTTAGAGTCTGATTGTCTTGTATCTTCTCAGAATATCACGCCCTAAGCTTCCCCATTGGAAATTATCAGGACGGGGGGCCCACGCTGGAACATCACCAGCGGGACAGGCAGCCCTGCAGCGCAGGCCCAGGCCCAGGCCCTGCCAACAGGCCGGTCACGGTGCCCGCACCGCCACTAATGGGCTTCGCTCCGTCCTGGGGAACAAGGGCTGAGGGGCAAGGGACACAGGGGGTGACACACCCCGACTACAGGGGGTCACTGTGGCCAGGGGCCGTCATCAGGCACCAAAGGTGCCCAGGGAAAAAGCCCTACCCTGCTTACAGTTTTGGCTGGGGGTCGGGAGAGCTCCTTTTCCGCCCTGGGGTGTGGAGAGGGGGACTGTCACCCTCCTTACAGGGCAGTTGCCCCTCTCTCTGGGCAGCCACAGGAGCGCGATGGCAAAAGGCCAACGCCAAGCAAAGCAAAGGACCCAGCCCTGCTTACAGGCAGGTCGCCCAGCGCCAAGCCGGCTGGCACAGCCTGAAGCTGCCCACCAGACTCTTAGGGATCCCTGCCCCAGTGATGCCAGGGAGGGACCTTTGCCCAGAGGGCCTTTCTTGTTTTTGCTTATATTCTCTTCCCTGAGGTTAAAAAGACTTTTAATACATGGTATGTTCTGTGTGTGTTAGTACTTCTCTGCTACAATCAAGTTACCTTTCAAACTCTTTTTTGATAAGCTTAGCAAATTGCATTCATTCTGTCCTTCACAGCAGGGCTTTTTTCCCAGCATTCAGATAATCTTTGTGGCTTTCTTTTTACACCACCTTCATTTCTTCCACTATTATAAAGACTCCTTCCTGGGATTTCGTCTGTATAATATTTACAGGTAAAATTGATCATTTTAAAGCCACTTCTTCCAGACAAGTAGATGTTGCCTTAAAATACTCAAGGCATTAAGAGGGAAGAAAGGAATCAGCTCCCATTTCACATTTCCACAGAAACTTTAAGATCCTCAGCTATTCAGGCTGCCCAATTTGTGAGAGTGACCATATGAGTGGTGCAACTGATAAAATCAGGGAATTACTGTACAGGTCTGGTTGAAGAAATGCAGGGGGTCTATAGTGTAGTGTAACACATCCAGTGTCTCAAAACTGAAAGTATTATGCTTTCTGATACAATTTTAGTAAAAAAAATAAAGGAAACACAAACCTCCTGCAGGTGACGATCTCATGTTGAAAATGCATTCAGACCCTACGTATAGGGGTGACTGAAGGTGACTATGAAAGTCTGGATGTACTTTGAGTTTGACCCTTCTGAGAAGGAGAGCTGGCATGTTCCCTCCTTGGAACTCAAAGTCTGTAAGTGTTTTTGACAGTTTAGGCTTTCAGAGGTTTATTAGTGAGCCAGGTGAAAACTGTGCTGCAGAAGAAGGTACTGCTAAATATACTAGTTTTACAGCCCAGAATATAGAGGCTTTGCTACACAAAGGGCTAGTAACAGCAGCCTGGTGTAGAATATAAAAAATGCATCTAAAAACTTGATAAAATCAGCCACACAAATTCACCAACTAAACAACCAAATCATTACAAAAGTCATTTGGATAAGGGGCTGAAAAATCCTAAGCAGAAAAACAGGAATGATGGGAATTTGGAAGGTTGGGCTATCACTACAACAATGTGAGCACTGCACAGCAGCTGCAATCAACAAAGGAAGCAGAGCTACTACTTGCTCAAGTACTTTATTGACAAGCAAGACATAGGTCATTAGACATTGAATGTGATCCTTTACCCAGCTGCCATATTGTAGTATGACATTTCATTTCAGAGCAGAGAACTGGAACTATTTTGCTAGTCCTCTTTACCCAGTATCAGTTAATTGCATCGTCATCCTTGGCTGCTAAACCTGCTATCTTTTTCATGGAGATCACCTGGAGGTTTTTTCACTTACCCTAAGCTCCAGGACAGGCCCCTCTCTCTTACTTCAGCTCAGTCAGTGGGAAAATCCTTTCTTGGGTCACAAACCACTACCAAACTGAAGATGACTGTCGTAAGGCAGTTGGTTTGCTCTCCACCTGAGCCAGAGTACTGAGTTAGGATGAGTTTAAACCTGGACCAGCATGATAATATAGAGAAATACTCATTGTTTCATCCAAATCCACTCAGATTGGCTGGTATGGTATCACAGCAGAAAGCACTCAGACAGGTACACACACGCACACAGATGCACTGACAGAGGTCCTCAAAATTCTAATGCATTTAACTGCCATGGTATAATAAGATACAACACTCTACATTCGACTGGATCTGCAGCAGAAATGCAGTGAATGGCAAATCCAAAAGCAGTGCTCTTTTCCCTGTCAAAGCACAGGGGGGATCTGCTACAAATAAGCAGTGGTGCTGGGGTGCTGGCCAGGCATCCCTAACCAGGGAGACAGTGCTGGAACATGCCTTCCGTTTCTGGCCTTCCCTTGCTATCATTCCTGTAGGATCTGTGCTCTCTGCTTCCCCACTGCACCCTTGTGGCAACTGCAAGGTTGGCCTTGCAGGTACTTTTCTCATCCATTTTGATCTATGCATGCAATTTAGTTACAGGTTTCAAAAAGAAATATTCCTTCTTATTATGTCATCCATGAAACAATTCATTTATTCATAATAACTTCGTGTGTATTTTCTTGACAGTCCAGCAATGTTCTTATCTTTTAACATATTTATCAAATATAAGGAAAATTTGGTTCTTTTCCACTCATTATTTAAAAGATTACTCATCCCCTGTGTGAGAATTTTAAAGAAAATCCACAAAACACAAATTTTTGCTTAACTTTTAGTTTGGTCTTCCAAAATAGAAGTATGATATTTGTCTAAAATTAGATTATTCAGAAGACGGTGGCAACAAATGTATTTTTATACCTGGAGTAATTAGTATGTTTTACATCCACCCTGCAACAGCTGGTTTAGTCTGGCATTATAGTTTTTCCAGAGCTGTTGAGGGATTTCTTTAGCCCAATAGGATTTGTGTTGATTACTGCTGCACTTTTTTTAGTGCTTTTTATTCATGGGGTTTTTTTCTTATCTTGACTCTGAAAGTTCTAGCCATTTGGGTTATTACAAATTTTGGTCTGTTTATACTGTAATTCCACTACAATAATAAAGAAGTCAGACTTTCACAGACTTTCATGCACACACACACAACATATACACACACATACACAAAAGAACTTGCAACTCATTTGCTGCAATCCTAAATTTGAATAAATATAAATATTTAAATTGTTTAAAGACAGGGTAGGGTGAAAAGGCGATTTTGGTTCTAAAACGCCTCAAAAAAGACCAAGAAAACCTCAAAAGGCTCCAAAACCACCTCAAAACCCCGATGTAATAAAATTGACTATAATTGACTAAAATTGAGTAATAAAGGCAATATATAAATTATTGAGCAAAAGTAGAGAGTGAAAAGGTGATTTTCATCCTAAATGCCACAAAAAAGACACAAAATCCATTCAAATCCCCTCAAAATTCAAATGAAATTGACTATATTTGACTAAATATGAGGAAGTAAGGTGATATTTAAGTTATACTTAAAAAAGGGGGGGTTGGAAAGTGATTTTGGCATTAAAATGCCCTGAGTAAATATGAATATCCCTCTCTACTCTATGTGTGAATAAATAGGAATAAATAGGAAAAATTAGGGTGATATTTAAGAAAGGATTAAAAAGTGTTTGGGGCACCAAAATGCCTCAGGAAAGACCCAAAATGCTACAAAAACACCTCAAAAAGCCCCGGAAATTTAAATAAAACTAAGATTTAATAAATAGAAATAAATTAAGGAAATATTTAAGTTATTTAAGAAAGGCGAGGATGAAAAGGCGATTTTGCCCTTGAAATACTTCAAAAACGCCTCCAAAAAACCTCAAACCTCCATAGAAATCCTCCCAAATTAAATAAATGTTGAATTAATATTAATAAATTAAAGCAGTAGTATTAAAAAACCGTAGGGTAAAGGTGCTTTCGGCACTGAAACGCCTCAAGAAAGCACCAAAAAGCCCCCCAAATGCTAATAACTGCATTTCAACTAATTAATAAACATTTAAGTTTTAGGGTTAATTAGTTTAATTAGGGTAGAAATTCAGTTAAAGCGTTTAAAAGAGAAATTTGGGTCCAAAATGGGGCAAAAAAGCCCTGAAACCGCATTTAAACGGAACAAATTTAATCAGAATGAAAGAACCTGAGGTAAAAGTTGCCTGTAATTGCAAAAATTTGAGGCAATTTGCTTTAACTTGAGGAAAACCAGGGGTTAAAAGGCGTTTTTAGCCCTAAACCCCCTCAGAACACCTGAAAACCCTCAAAAGACTCAAAGCTCCCCCAAACAGCCGCGATTAGAACTAATTAATCGATGAAGTAATTAAATTATTCCTTCAATGGATTAAATTAAGGCAACGAATTAAGTCACTACATGGGCTCGAAACAGGCTCCAAACCCCTTCGGATTTCCCCGGCTAAGCCCCCAAGCCGCCTCAAAACCCTCCGCGGCGCCAACTAACGCCTTAATGAGTATCTTAGTCAACACCACGAGCGATGGTAACATTAATTTTACTAATTAATTACATTTGGTAATTAACCGCCACCTCCACCGTACCTTGCCGGCCGCCGCCACCCCGCCGCGGCACGCCCCGCGCCGCCCTTTATATCACCTCGGTCGCTCCCCTCCCATTTCCGCCCGGGGCCAATCAGCGCGCCGCGCGCCCCAGCACACCCCGCCCACTGGGCAGGGAGGTGCCTTCCCGGGTTTTCGGTGCTCAGCCAATCAGCGCGCGGTTGCCCTTAGCAACTGGACAGCGCCGGGAGCCGCCGTGGCGCTGACCAATCAGCGCCGACTTTGCGGAGGCGCGCGAAGAGCTAAGCCAATGGGAGCACCGCGCGCCTCACGCCGGCGGCCAATCAGAGTGCGGCGGCCGGGAGGGAGGAAGGCAGAGAAACGGCGGCAAGCAGCGGCTGGGTGGACAGATGGAGGGACCGCCGGGGACACCGAGGGACCCAGGAGGACGTCTCGCCGTTTTTGGGGGCTCCAAAGCTCAGGAGCTTCAGCGCTGCCTCCTCCCGCCCCCCCCCCGCCACTTTTCGTCTTCAGCGCGCGGCTTCACCACCCCGTGACACGCTTGCCATAGATGGCTATATTTGCATAAAGGGGCGTGTTTCCGTCCACTGGCGGGCAGCCTATCTGTGGTTTTTTCGCATAAAAGAGAGCCGAGCTTGTCGGCACCGCCGAGGGTTTTGTAGCACCCTGTCACTGACCCACAGGGACCCTCAAGGACAGCCCGCTGCCCCGCAGGGACCCCTCAAGGGCACCCCAGTACCCCACAGATGCCCCAAAACATCCCATAGAGACACAGAGGTGTCCCATAGGGACCTCCAAAGCCACCCGAGTGTCCCATAGTGACCCCCAAGTGACCCAGAGTGACCACATAAGTGCCTAGAGGGACCTTTAGAGACCCCCAAGTGCCCTACAGAGAGCTCCAGGCGACCTATAGGGACCCCCAAGTGCTCCACAGAAACCCTCAGGGACCCACAAGTGACCACCAGACCCACATACTGCTCCATAGTGACCCCAAGCATCTCAGAGAGACCCATAAGTGACCCCTGATTGACCCATAGAGACCCCCAAGTGCCCTACAGGGACTTTCAGGGACCTCCAAGTGCCCCCTAGAAACCCCACCCCCCGTCATGCCCCCTTGACTCACCAAGGGTAAACAGACAAACCCCTCAACACCATCAGAACCTGCACCCGCAGGGGAAAAGGTTAAAAAAATACAGTAGAATCATAAGACCATGACAAAAGAAAAATTGTGTATGCAAAACTGTAAAACACAGAGACGGAAAAAGCATTTTATTGATGAAAAACAACATGGAGGACCAGGAAAAATGGAAGTCACAGCTGGTGTTCCTGGATAGAAAGGACAAGGATTTTGTGGACAATGGGATCCAAATACCTTCTCCCCTGTTAGGACACTGCAAAAAGCCCTAAACATATTCAGTCACAACACCACCACAAGATTCCTAAACAACACACTGGCAAAAAGCCTAAAGGAGCAGGTCAGAAACAGAGAATGAACCAATAATCAGCCCATGATTACTACAATCCCAGGGCATAAAGAAATTGGAAAAAAATTCTAAAAAGAAACTTCCCCGCTATCCCCACCTGCATGAACCCATCTAACTTCAACTGGTCTCACCCCAGCGACGAAGGGCGCAGTCCCACCTCCTGCTGGGAGCCGGGCCCTCTGGGCAAAGGCAGCTGGGCATGCGAAGCAGTGGCCCACGAGGCTACTGCCCTGCTTACAGGGGGCTCCAGCACGGGCACATGTCCAGGCCCTGGCTACAGGCGGGTGGTGGTGCCTGTTATTTACATTTGAGTAAGCAAGACTGAAATTCCTCTGTCCTCTGGTTGTAGTGGTGGAGGCTGGGGAAGGGTAAGTGCAGTTCACAGTACAGTGTGGTGCTAATGTACTTCTTCTGTTGAATGGTTTAGGATGCAGGAATCATGCGGCAGGAAAAGGAACTCCTCTCTTGATTTCTGCACTTAAGTGTTTCTCTGGGGCACTCATTACACTGGAAAATCCAAGAAACACAGTGTTATAAATAAGTCCCCGGAGAAAAGTTTTGCTGCCCTTTCTGCATGTAGTGTTATTATCCATAAATGGAGGAGGCAACTGGAGAATGCATAATTCTCCAGTTGCAAAATATTTTGTGGTTATTCAGTTTTAGTACCATGTATGCCTGTCTATCCCCAATCTTCGCTATTTTAATTGCAAGGAGTTACTCTGAATGGATCATCAATTATTATGTATGACTGGATGTGACCAGGGTGGGGAGCAATGTTAAATATTGATCATTTGTGTGTCAAGTGGTGGATGGCAGTGTAAAACCATGACAAGAAAAAAGTGTGTGGTATTTTTTCCTTAAAACAAGACACAGAGAGAGTTGATACTAGGGTTCAGTATTAATTACTCAAGTGCCATGGTTCCTCTGTAAGTTCCCATTTAAAGAACTCTTCCTTCCACTTCTATGATACATAGCTGGCAATTGTTAATGAACTCTTGCAGATAAGAAGTTATTTTGTGTTTTCAAATTTTTTTTTTCAGGAAAAGGTATAACCACATACCTCCATGAAGTTTATTATGCTGTGCTGATGGCTTATACAATGCGGCAAATAGAATATTATAAATTCATTAGAAGTAAAAAAAAAAGAGGGACAGAAAAGCAGGTCCAGTGTTACACAGACAAAGGAAGGCCAAATTTCTGTCTGTTGTGTATTTATATCAGCAAACCATCAAAGACTGTTTAATATGACATAAGGAATCTTTCTTTTGTTAGGGGAAAAAAAAGTGAAGATAAAGTCCCAAGAAACTTCTTGCTTGGTTTATTAAAGTAAAAAAAAACCAAATTACTACTTATTTCAGCTGGAATAGGCCCACAAGAAATTTGTTGCTAGAAAGGAAGTACCACTGGAATCACATTCATAACCAAAAAAATAAAATTTCCGGCTAGTAATGAAGAGTAAAAAGCAGTAACAAGAACTGTGAACATTATGGTATTAAAAATTCACTTTTGCAAGAGAGTTGTCCAGAATGCTCTCTCAGAGAGGAAAGAAATTTAATTGTCCTAACTTCCCATGAAGTGCATATGGCCCAAGTGATTTTGTTGTAGCTGCTACTGAGCATTTCCATTAGGATACAGTTTAATTTACATTTGTAAAGATCCCCTTTCAACAGAGGCTTTTATGGTGCTTAGAATGGTATAACCTTGGTTAAAGGTCCAAGTTTTATATGTGTAGAGTGAAGCTCAAACATTTAGTAAGATGTGTATAAGCCACCTTCTACCAGCTATTAATGCTTGGCATCGAGAAAGGGGAAATTCCACCTAATCTGAGATCTGCGTTCAACGCCGGGACAGTCGATGTCCAAACTCTTTAATGGATATCTGATTCTGCAAGTTTTTTACCGTTTCAAGTCAGGCTTTGATGTTTCCTGGTTCTCTATGGAGGATGCAATCGCAGCTGGGGGTGCTGAGCGGGGCTGACCAGGGTTACTGACAGGGATAGTTCTTCCTCTGCTGTGTTCGGTGCATTTGACAGTGACATCTGGTGACCAGTTTAGTTAAATGCAGGTTCGTACTTCAGGGCTCGTTTCTGTCAGCTCTTCTTTAACTTCAGTGTGGTAAAAAGTCCATCTGAAAGCAAGGACTTGGCAAAGGCACTGTAGTTTCTCCATTTATGGACTTTAGGTTCCTCTTTCCTCCTCTCACTGTTCCCAGCTGGATGCTTTCCAGAATGGATGTAGCCAATTGGACTAGAGCTGCTTAAGGTTTTCACAGTCTTTACTGAAGCCTCTGCATTTTGCTTTTATCACCTGTCTAGAAGCAGAGGAAAATTCCCAAACATTTGTAATAATCTTCCTGCTTACTTTTTGTTTATACTGAGATGCTTGGAAGTAGGAATCCGCTCATCTCTTGTTCTGGTGAGCATGACAGAGAAGGCTATTCCCAATTTCTAAATTAGAACACAAATCTCATGAAAAGGATGAAGAAAATAAGAAAAAGTAAACCAGGAGAATAGTGTTCCAACATTGCTATCTGGTATACAGGTGTTTGTTCCAGAAAGAGTGTTCACCAGATAGGGAGAGTGTGGATAAAGGCACACCTAGGTTATAAGGAACCTTCTCATTCAAAAGGGAGTGGGCATCCCTTTGCAGGCTGTTCAGAGCCTGCATGCAGTATCTGCATAGGCCCCTCTCCTGCTCACTGACTCATCTTGCCTGTTTCTCGGGTCAAGCTGGGAGAGGAATCTTGCCTTTCTCTAAGTTTAATCAATAAACTGTTCATGCACTGCAGGAATGGAGCAGCTTGTCCTTTAAGGCCTGTTTTATGTTGCTTCTCATTTTATGGGATGAAACAAACAGTGTCAGATGTACAAGGCTTTAGTGCAGCATTAGATCTGAATGTTCCTGGGTTTGAGATCTGGGCTTAAACTGAGGCATTCCTAAAGTTCAGGTTCATCCAACGAACATGAGTTTATTCTTCAAATCAAGATTTTAGTCCATGCCTATCTGTGTCACTGGTACTTGAGCTTGCAAACTTCTAATTTGATATTATTTATCCCTTTCCCCCTTTAAAAGGGGTAGGGCTGGGGGTGTAAACCCAACAACTTTCTGTACATTTTGATTCTTTTTTGAAGTAAAGAGCAGAGCGTTACCTATGGGCAGCCCTGGTGGTCCCTAGTGGTACCTGCTTTGGCACCGTATTATTGTCTTACTATTCACCATAAAGCTTTTGCCTTTTTCTTTACTGTCAACTTTATGTAATAGGGCCCTGGCTCCAGCAACAAAATGCTTGTTTATAACTGCAGGCCTTTGCATTGTTGAATTTCCTTCCGTCTCTGTAACTCTGTAACACAGGGCTGTGCAATTCTTTTTGCATGAAAACTTGTTCTCCATGATTGACATTATCTTTCTGTTCTGTGTTACCTGAGACTTCAGTACGATGTGCTTTCTTGGACTATCTTCTCCTTGGACCAATATTTTTATTAAAATATTAAGCAGAACTGGGACTGACAGAGACTTCAGAAAGCACACCCCTTTTCTTCCCAATTGTACAAACAGTTGTAATCTCTTCTTACCTATCTAATAGTTATTCTTTTAATCTCAATTTTTTCCACTTTAATAGTTAATCTCCCTTGAGCCAGTGAAAGCAATT